CCCTCTGGGAACAAGAAAATTCTACTGATAAAATGGCAAATAATATCCCTGTCTGTGTTTGTTTTGTAAATTCTGATTTCTCAATGTTGCTTTTCTTGCTTGAGATCATTGGCAAGTCAGTACATTAAGGGAAATACCAGAGTAGGTGTAGGCCTTATCAGGTCACTGTGACCTGCAAACAAAGGATGGTGCTTTCTGAAAGTGTCTAATTTAGGGCGGGGTTATGGAAATCAGCAAGGCAGCCTGATTAGCCTTGGGTAGTAAAATTCCAGTAGAGGGTCTGGGGTGTGGCTTTATGATGGATGTTTTTCTAGTTTTGTTTTTTTCTTGAGAGGGAGGACAGCAAACAGCTGGGTTTCAGATGTATCCTGGGGCCCCTTATCTTAGACCCAGCTCATATCTGCTCCTGTGAACGTTTCTTACAGGAAAACTTGATTGGCGCCCTTTTGGCGATTTTCGGGCATCTTGTGGTCAGCATTGCGCTTAACCTCCAGGTAAGTTTCAGTCACCACCAGGTAAGTTTCAGTCACCAGCACTGTCTGGGGCAGTGATGTCTGATAGGCCGGGGAGTCTGGTGTAGGCCCAGCTGCCTCCTCTCTGTGGGACTTGGCCCTCCATCCCTGGGCTGGGCCTGGGACAATACCCTGTGGGCTGTTCCAGAATCTCTCTGCCCCCACTTGGTTCCCCCTCATCACCCCTCACCTCTGATGACAGCCCTCTCCATTACTTACAAGTCTCTGGGTGCCCTGGGGCAGATGCTGTGCCTCAGATCCCCTTGGCCCATATGAGTTCACAAGCAGCTGTGGTTTGGAGCAAGCTGAGAACTGGAGGGGCTTCTCCAGGGGGCACCATGGGTACTGTTTCCACTGGCACACAGGTGTAACTGGGAAGCTTGGCGTGTGTATTGGGTGGTGAAGGTAGTTTTTAATGCCCCTGGGGGCAGACTTCAACTAGTGGGGAATAGGCGTCAGTGGATAATTGCCCTCTGGTAGAATGGTTCTAAGGTGAGTTCCCAGGGTTTCCCAGAGGGTCCCCAGTGGGACTGCGCCCCACTTGCCTAACGGACTAACTCACCCATTAATGGACTCCCCATTTGTTCTTCTCTCTTCCCTGGCTCACTTTCCTGCTCCCTTACTTGTGCTTCTAGGAACCACCTCCCAAATCCACTACTTGTTCCCAAGTCCTTGTCCCAGGGACTGCTTCTGGGAACCCCAGACTAAGACTTGACACCTGCAGACAGAGAACCCCCAGCACAGTGGCCAACTTCTCTCCCCCTTCTCCAGTGGGACCCAGCTTTTAGCTGCGTTGAGCTGCTCTCCCTCCCTGGAGCAGGCACGTGAACACACATGGTCCATCTCGGCTCCCATGCACACAACATGTGGGTGTGTTTCTGAGGCCATGTGTTCTCTTAACTACTCGTCTGGTTCATGCTCTTGTTTCTACAGACCAGCGTCTCTGCTTCTGTATCTGCTTTTATGTAGCCCCCATCATGATCCCCCCAAAAAGGCAGCCTTGGCCCTCTTAAGTCAACATGACTTCCTACCTCTCCTTAGTCACTGCCTCAGTTTTTACGTCCCAAGTTCACATTTCCAGAACAAAGAGTGTCGGCCATACTTGAGCCAAGTACCCACCCGCAGGAGGGCAGGGTTCGCTGATACCCACAGGGCTGCCCAGCATTGCTGCTGGTGTGTCTACAGAAAGGAATGTAGCCAGGTGGGCACCGCCAACATGGGGACTCCTGGGCATTGCAGTTAGAAGAAGAAGATCAACCTGAGGCCAGGCTAAAGTGGGGGTCCTTGGACAATGGCTCCCACCCAGACTGCATACCTCCCCTCTGAGGATGAGACCCAGACATGCGGATTTTTTTCAAAGCTCCCCAGGGAATTTTTAAGGCCTCTCTGCCAGTTTGAGAACTGTTGTTTTAGAATACCAATCTAGTGTTTAGATCGATACTGCTTTACCTTTCTCTGAGTAAGGACCCCCAAAACACCTGACACATCTTCCCGAATAAAATTGGGAGGTAGATTTAGGATATGTGCATCATAACGTCTTTTCCCCAAACATCTGGGCAAATCACATTCTTCTCGGATTTCCAGAAGTACTGCCACATCCGCCTGGCAGGCTCCAAGGACCCCCGGGCGTATTTCAAAACTAAGACATGGTGGCTGGGCCTGTTCCTGATGCTCCTGGGCGAGCTGGGTGTGTTTGCCTCCTACGCCTTCGCTCCGCTCTCGCTGATCGTGCCCCTCGGTGCAGTCTCCGTGATCGGTAAGCCTGGAGTCCGCCCACACATCCCCTGGGACTGACCTAGCTGTGTGACCACAGTGTCACCGCCAAGATCAAGCTAAACAAACCAGCTATTGCTTTGATAACAATAGTTAGCACTTAGAAAGGGCTTCATACACACCACTCCCTGCTCCAAGCACTTTACAGATCATTCTTCTAATCGTCCCAGCAGCCTTTTGAGGGAGACACCGTTATTATCTCCATTTTACACATGAGGAAACCGAGGCACAGAGTAGTGAACTTATTTTCCCCAAATCACACAGCCAGTGAGGAGCAGGACTGGGATATGAACGGGGCTGTCTATCTCCAAAATCTGTTTAAGATTCAGAAAGTTTATCAGAATTACTTTTTATTTCTACTGCAGAAAGAAGATAAACCTTAGCCTATTCATCCTAACTCCATCAAGGTAACCCAAGCTTTTATAGGGTTCAGATATCTTACACCTCTAAGAAATTCAGCTTATTCTCAAATCTTTTTACATCAACTGGTACTGTTTTTAAAACAACATTAACTTCCTCATCTGCCATTTTTCTATGATGTCTGTAATCACCGAACCAGCGTTTCAGAACATGTGAACCAGCTAAAAGATGAAGTTCGAGTTTTAATGGCCATGAGGTCGCAAATAGAATTAGAAAAACATTATTTTCTTCTGAAAAGATGTTAGTAGATCACTGACCAATAGCTTTTGGAACATAGGAGCAGGGATAATGAACTTGCTTTGGAGTGTTTCCTTCCATCTCGCTGGCAAGCGCTACACCGCCTAGAAGGTCTTCCCTGCTCCTAAAGGAGGAAGCCATATTTTGCGTTTTATTCCACCTGGAATTAAGAGGACTTCCTCTACACCAGGGAATGGGGACTGTATGCCCCTCCTGGGCCCAAGGCAGACATCACTAATCAATTATAGCATGTCTTCCTAGTGAGCTTTGATGGGGCATCAGAATTCAGAGCTCAGGCGGTCATTCCCAATGACCAGGAGTTGGCAAAGGAGCAGAAACCTATTTGCTTTCCCTGATCCTATGATCAGACCCTTTTTTCTTGGTCAGCTGACAGCCCACAAGATGAATGAGGTCCTCAGGCATGCTCTGTTCTTTCCCACGCAGTATTGTTTTTTAGTATCATTTGAATGCCTTTAGTTGAGGCAAGTAGTCTGCCTAGTTCCAACCTTTCCTTATTGTCTTTCATCTTGCCTTCTTTCTACATTTATGTTACTGCCCAGCCCCTATAGTTATTTAGATTTGTCTTCTGCCGACCTCTCCAAAGGGTTCTCAGCACTTTATGCATGATGAGAAATAGGGGACTGAGTGACCAAGTGCTTTAAATACTAGTCTCTGAAGTTTAGTAACTCTATTAATGAAACTTAAAAACCAGAGGCTGAGGGCTGGCTGAGTGGCTCAGTTGGTTAAGAGCTCGCTCAAGAGTTTGAGCTCTGAGCAACAGCGGTTCGATGCCCAGCCCGAGCTGAGCTGCCGCTAAGCTGCCAATAGGTAGCAGGATGGCTCAGCTAAAAAAAAAAAAAACCAGAGGCTGAATTATAATGATGGGACTTCAGGTGTCAGCCACTGGAAATTCAGAGGTTCTTAGAGCTTCTCCAGTCACCAAATGAGAAATAATATTAAAAATAGTAATAACCACTATTTATTGAGTACGTATTACTTAACAGTCACTGTTCTAGGTACTTTAATAATAATAATAGTCCAGGTTATTGACCATTTACTGGGTGACAAATGGATTTATATATATTATTTATTTGCCCCTATAACTCAGAGAAGTAGGTATTTTCAGTGGTGTGCTGATAAAACAACTCTCAGAGAAAGAGTGAGAGAGGAAGAGAAAAAAGAGGAAGAAGAGGTAGAGGGAGGGAGAGTAGGAGGTAAGGGACAGAAAAGTGAGAAAGGAAAAAAAGAGGACCTAACATGTAGTATTCTTTATTTATATGGTGTTAGCACCATGTCCATGCAACACTATGGCTGCATTCAAGCTGCCAGTGTTTTCCTGAATGTGTAACAATCCACAAGCTGGTGATGCAAGCTGGATCCAGCACGTCATTTCCTAGACTAAGAAACCGAGACCCAGGTGAACTGACTTACCCCAGGACACAGCCAGAGGAGGTACACCTGAGATAGCAATCCAGGTGTGCTCACAGTGAGCGCCAGCCCCATCCTTTAGGGCAGTCACAGGAAATCTGAGGACATCCGCAAACTTGGAAGAGCCAGGGAGGGAGAAGAACCAGGGGGGAATGTCATTCCAGTGGGAGGGGCAAGGGCCTGGGCCTCCAGCAGCCGTGGGTTCAAGTCTAGCCTTCACCTACCAACGGCATGATCTTGAGTGGGTCCTTCACTGCTCTTAGCCTTGGTGTCCCCAGCTTTCAACTGGGAATAATAATAGCACCCACCTCAAAGAGTGACCATGCCAGACATCACTTGTGTAGATTGCCTGTTGCACAGTAAGTACTCAGCACACGGGGCTCCCAGCCTTGTAGGAAATTCTCAGGAAGACTCAGAGAGAAGCCTCCCTTTCCGAGATGGAATAACAGGAACCAGAAGGGACTGAGCTCTTGGGAGCATGAGTGAGAGGTTAGGACGTTTCAGGCTCCAGTGCAGATGAGCCACCCCAAAGGGTGTGGGTGAAGGGACTCCTTTTGACTGATGGCTGCCTCAGTTCTCTTATCTCTGTGCTTTTTTTTTTATATTTAGCTAGTGCCATCATAGGAATCATATTCATCAAAGAAAAATGGAAACCGAAAGACTTTCTGAGTAAGTTCACTGATTGGAGCCCCTGTTCTTCATCTTACGCTTGTGCTTCTTTTCATCGTAAAACCAGCTCACCCCAATATAGAGATCACCTGTTCCCACTCTCCTCTGTGGTTCTATATTGCACCCTCATCAGGCTCCCCAGAGCCAGGTCTTTAATCAGCGGTTCCCAAACCTGGCTACACATGAGAATCATCTGAGACTTTTAAAAATGGACTTTCATTCATGCCATTCAATCAATATTTATTGAGCATCTATTGTTATAATTTTAGGAAGCCAAATAAAAGGCACCAGTAGAACCCTGCGTTCTAAAGCAATGGGATACAAACACAGAAGGAGATCAGAAGTTATGCTTTATTACTGATAAAAGCTAAATTATAGCATGCAGCTTAGGTATGCAGCCAAATGACCTCTCCCCGCATATGCCCCAGTTCCCAACTAGACCTTGGGCCAGTCTCCCAAGGAAACATTTGGGTTTGCAGAATGGAACACTTACCCAGAATTACTGCCTCACATCACCTGAGGCAAAAAAGGAAGGAAAAAAGAACAAAGCCTCAGTGTATAAATTCTTTTGGGGAATTAGCCCCACTCAATTGAGAAATGTGGACCAATGGGGCAAGAGGCGGAAGTGTCGGTCCATTGGAGGTCCCTCCTTACGGAAACCTGAGGAGTGGGGAAGATGTGTTCCCCCAAGAAACCTACTGAGTGCCACACTCTGTTGCAGATTTCAGGGATATAACAGTAAGACAGATGGGGTACCTGCTGACGTGGAGATTCCAGTCTAATGTGTATGTGTTATGGGGGAAGGCGTACAATAAACAAGTGAACAAGTATAATTCTAGATCTTAGTGCTTCAGAAAAACTAGAACTATTCTTGGTGGGACTCTGGGAACTTGGGAATGCTTTACCTTGACTGGTCAGGATTCGACTGTCTGAAGAGGTGATTTTTGAGCCCAGACCTAAATGATACAGAGACACCATGCCCAGGTCTGTGGGCAGAGTGTTACATGCCGAGGGAGCAGCAGGTGCAAAGGCCCTGAGGCGGGAATAAGCTTGGTGTGTCTGGTATCGGTAAGGCCAGTGTACCTGGAGGGTGATGAGTAAAGAGGGAAGGAGGACATGGGAGCAAGGAGACATGGAGGACTGGATGATGTAGGACCTTATAAGCCATGCTAAGGATTTGAGTGACATGATAGTGACCCAGGCTCTATCCCTAGAGATTTTGAATCTGGGGCCCAGACATTTGCATTCTTATAAACCTCCTCAGGATGAAGTATATTTGTCTGCAACTTGCTTTGAAATATATCAAAAAATAAGATGGTTTGATGAATGGATGGAGGGGTGAAGAGAACAGATAGATATGTGATAAAACAAGTATAATATTAATTTAGAATCCAGGTGGTGGGACTATGGGTGCTTACTATACAACTCTTTCAACTTTTCTGTGTGTCTGAAAAGTTGTTAAAACAACATGTCAGGGAGAAGATGCTCCCAAGCAGTTGTGGAAACACAGCCAGGTTTGGGAACTACTGTTCTGAATCTTTGGTGTAGAATAAAAGCAAGATAGGGCCAGGAGGCTGAAAAAGAAAAGACTCTTACATTGAAAAAAACAGCAGAATTACTGCTTAGCAAACAAGTATCGACAAGACTGGAAGACACATTGTGATTTGCAGTAGTCTTGATTTGGGGCAGTGGTGGGGTCGGGGTAGATGGGGGGCAGGGTGTCTGGGCTTGTTCTGCTTTGTCCCTTTCAGGGATACTCTAGGTAGTCCTGGAATAAGAGGCATGCTAGTCCAGGCAGTGCCATCCGTGAATTGGAAAGAGATGGCCCCTCTGGGCATCTGTAGTTCTATGGACACATGCCTTAGGGAGCAGAGCATGGGCTAGGTTTTAGTCTTCCTCATGCCTTCAGCGAGGTGCTCTTGAGCAGTGAGCAACCTGCTCAGCCGTACATGACTGCCCTGCCTAAAGTTCCATTAAATTCAGTAAATATTCACCCAGGGCTAGACCTGTGCTGGACACTGCAGGCATGGAGATGAGTAAGACCTATCCCTGCCTGAAGAAAACTTAAGACAACAGACTTGTGTATGTTAGCACAGAACTTACTATGTTGAGTGGTTCATTCATTCACTGAACAATTGAACAACCTGCTTTTGAGCACCTTATGAGGCCTAGAACGATAATAAAAGACATTGAATGAGGTATCACAGTGTCTGGAGGCAGTAGAATGAAATCGGTATAGTCACTTCTGTGCCAGAAAAATCCAGAGGCCTGTGGTCACCATATGCGCAGCTCAGAACTCACAGCCCTTTTCAGTTTGCCTGGGCTGGACATCAAGAGGCTTTTCACCAATTCCACAGGGTCCAAGTGCATTGTGACAGGACCCTGGGGAAAAGACAGGAGGCCATTAGCAATCTCTGACAGGTCTGTGGGGTAGAATATTGATAGTATTTAGACAGTTCCCTTGGGAGTAGGTTAACTAACCAGTTGGGAAACGATGATGTAATTTTTAAAAGGCACATGGTAGGTTCTATGTGCCTCTTTTTATGTTTGTTTTTAAGGTTTTGTTTTATTTGTTTCTTATCTTGCCCATAAAGTGATTCTAGCTTTACAATGTTCCCTATAAAATGCATGTTAAAACCACAATGCAACACCAGAATGGCTAAAATGAAGAAGAAAAATACATAGTTTTACTCTCATGCTCTACTGGTGGGAGTGTAAATTGGTACAACCACTTAGGAAAACCAGTTGATTACTAAACTGAACACCTATGGCCCAGGAATTCCACTCCGTTTCACACCCAACAAAAATACATAGGTATAGCAACATCATTTTGTTATAACCCAAGACTGGAGACTACTTAAATGCCCATCAAACAGTAGAATGGATAAATTGTGTCATAGTCACACAACAGACTACTGTACAGCAGTGAGAATGAGAGAACCACCATTACGTGTACAATACACATGAATCTCGCAAACACAAGAGAACGTACTGTACAAATCCATTTACATAAAGTACAAAGCCAACAAAAGAAATAAAAATAATAAAAAAACGTAAAAAAGAAAATAGAAACATACACACACCAAAAATAGAGAGAGAGGAGAAAAAAGAAAAATAAAGTGCAAAATCAGGGAAACTGTCAGTGCTGGTAGAAGTCAAAGTGTTACCATGGGAGTGGGGTCAAGTGGTTGGAAGGGGACACAAGTGTGGATTTGGGGGTCCTGCTAATATTCCCTTTCTTGATCTGGGTGCTGGTTACATGGCTGTGCTCACATTGTGAGAACCCATCAAGCACTTTTTTGTATGCATGCTACGCCTCATTAAAAATTTAACACTAAATGTTATTTTTAAAAAACATTAAGGAAGATCATCTGTTTTTTAAAAAATAAACAAAACCCCAAAATACAAACAATACCAGGTCAGCTGTATTGCCCCAGAAGCACACTGGCCTGGGGCCCGTGCCTGCAGTGAGCCCTGTGACGGCCCCCCATTCCTTGCAGGGCGCTACGTCTTGTCCTTTGTCGGCTGTGGCTTGGCTGTCGTGGGCACCTACTTGCTGGTGACATTCGCACCCAACAGTCATGAGAAGATGACAGGCGAGAACATCACCAAGCACCTCGTGAGCTGGCCTTTTCTCTTGTACATGGTAAGTGAAGCCTCCGGCCCTTCTGCCTGAGGTGGCGGGAGTGGGAATCGAGTCTTAGAAACCAGAAACCTGAATACCCAACAATAGGGGATTCGCGTGAATTGTGACGTATTTCACAGCTCTGAAGACCATCCTTATGGAGGGTACATAATTCACGGCAAAATGCTTTTTTTCACTTAACATCCTGAGTAATGTCTGCATGTGTGATATGATAACTTTATTTTTTTAGAGGTATTTGTAGGTATGTACATACAATGTATCTATAAAGGACTGGACAGAAAAACAAATTCCATCAGAAGTTGTCTCAGAGAGATGGAATTATGACTGAGTTTTTATTTTGTCTTTATATATTACCCAAAATGTCTATGTAAGCATTTAAAACTTTTATGGTAAGAAGAAAAGTTAAAATTCTAAACAATTATAGAATGTTATTTATTTCTTTTTGCCCAGTATCACACAGCTGATAGAAACAAGGGAGATCCTGGAAACTTTGTCTCCTAAACTCCCAGCCAGAGTTCAGTCCTCTGCCCCAATGATAACCGGTTTAGGTCCGCAAATAAACTAATGAAGGAAAACCTCTAAAGCAGCGGTTCTCAACCTTCCTAATGCCGCGACCCCTTAATACAGTTCCTCATGTTGTGGTGACCCCCAACCATAAAATTATTTTCGTTGCTACTCTATAACTGTAATTTTGCTACTGTTATGAATCGTAATGTAAATATCTTTTTGTCTAAGACCATCAGAAAACAAAAAGATATTTACATTACAGGCGACCCCTGTGAAAGGGTCGTTAGACCCCCAAAGGGGTCGCAATCCACAGGTTGAGAACCGCTGCTCTAAGGTATTTGCTAAAGCTACTGGAATATTCCCATACCATGCCTGTCTCTGTGCTAAACATTTTTTTCTGTATCATCTCAGATTCTCTCAACAACCCTATAAAGTAAGTGTTTTTCTCTCCATTTTCTGGATGAGGAAACTGGAGCTCAGGGAGGTTAGCTAACTTGTTCTGAGTCCCGTGAGAGCAGAGCTGGGCTTGAAGCTGGGCCTACCTGGCCTCATGTGCCACCTGCCTTCACCATGACCCGCTTACTGATTACTCTACCTCAGGTTCACTGCTACCTCTGACACAGGCAAAAGCCCCAGAATGTGCTTTCTCCTCAGATTGCCCACAAGACAGAAAAGATGTTTCCCCATAATTGGGGCTGTGTCATCTCCCTACTGCCAGCCAGCCAGTCCCAGCATTTACCTGATGGGTGTGGAGAAATGTCTGCAGGACAGAGCCAAAGCCCCACCTCTTCAGGCAAAGCTTTTCTCTCAGGGAGTCCTGGGCTTGAATTCGTTGTATGCTGTGTGACCTTGGCCAAGTCACTGAACCAGAAGCTCTGCCTCCTCTTCTGTAAACTGACGGAAGTCACAGGACCTGGGGAGGTTGTTGCTCATGACACAAGCTGGTGTGGAAACCACCCAGCACTTGGCAGAGGCTCGGTGACCAACTCACCAACTCAGTTAGTCTTGCTTTTTTTTTTTTTTTCTTTTCTTTTCTTTAAAGACTTTATTGGGAGATTAAGGGAGGGAACAGCGTTGAGGAATCGGGGAAGGGGAACAATCAAGTTGCTGTCCTTTTGTTCTTCAGTCTAGTCGTGGAGGACGTCGCTTCACTGGCCCATGTTGGTATTGTGATCATTGCGCTCTTCCCAAGTGAGGCAGTCACTCACCAGACATTGGACGGCCGCTCATGGTGGCTCATGGCAGCTCACGCCGGCTGCCGGCCACTCACAGTAGGTTACGGCAGCCCACTGCAGCCCCATTGCAGCCTACACCGTCACCAGCGGCGACTCACAGCAGCCCAGCTCCAGGTCGAGCTGTTGTTCACCATCTTAGCTGTAGAGGGCGCAGCATCACTGGCCCATGTGGGATCCAAACCAGCGGCCCTGCTGCTCAGAGCTGGTGTCCCAAGCCAACTCTTAACCAACGCGCCACTCGGCCAGCCCCTCAGTCTTCCTTTATCATGACTGTGAGGCTAAATCAAATTCAATAAATATCTTTGAGTGTCTGCTGTGAGCCAGACACTGTGGATATAAAAAATAAATGAGACATGCTCATGGAACTCATGGTCTATCAGGAGGCACCAAGTTATACACAGCTGTCTTGGGATAGGACGCCAAGTGCTGTTACAGCGTACAGTTAAGCGTCATGAAGAATGGCAGAAAAATTGGGCCCCCCTGAAGGCACACGCGATGGTTGGGAATGTTAAGTAACTCTCCATCTGCTTGATGGAGTATGCTGCAGCCATTAGAGTTAATTATGACAACTTCATAAAACATGGAAATTGTTTATGGTAACTAAAAATGGCCCAATGCAAAATTGTACATTGACTGTGATGACAAGGAAATCAAATATGTATTCCCTGTGACAAAGACAGGAAGAAAACAGGAAAATGAAAACAGCTGTGTTTTATGGTCTCTGATTATGAGGAATTTTCTTTTCAAAATACCCGTTAATGTTTCGGCATTTGGTTTTTATAATAAACTTTGGTTGGAGGTTGGGGTGGGCCAATGGAGCTGAGCCATTGTCAAATTTTTCTGCTTTAGTTTTGATGGGTGCTGGGCCTGGCTTCACTACTTGGGAAAGTATTGCCAAATGTCTGGGCCTTTGAGGAGTAGAAAGGACACATTGTTGATCCAAGGTGGGGGAACTTCTAAAATTTCAGACTTGCCATTGTCTAATCATAAGATTCTATTGGCTGAGCACCTTCTAAATGCTAGGCACGGGGGTCTCCTGTCTTCAGGCAGTGTAGCCTAGGGCGAAAGCATGTCTTCTCTAGAGCCCGACTATCCAGGTTCAAATCCTGGCTCTGCCATTTACTAGCTTGGGATTACGATAGTACCTACTTCATAGAATTATTGTGCTGATTTAATGAGTTGGATATAGATAAAATGCTTAGTATAGTGCCTGGCTCATGTTTGAGTTCACTAAGTGTAAGCTGTGAGGATGGCCCTGTAAAGTAAGAATTTCACAGAGGAAGTAGCTGAGGTTTAGGGAAGCACAGTGATTTGCCCAAGGTCACACAGCTAGTTTAGAAGCAGATCCAAGTTCAAACCTGAGCCTCCCTGACTGCACATGACCGCTTCTCTCTTCTCTACTAAACCACACTCAGTAGAGGCTTGTTTAAGGGGCAAAGAGCATGTGTATTGTATATTTCACCAAAGAGCTCTCTTCTCCTTGATGAACAAGCATCTCCCTCTTTGACCAACCCCCAGTTTTAATGGGGTTACTCGTGGGGCAGTGAAGTGAGAAGAGACCGTTCTCAGCCTGATGAATCTTGGCCATCCAAGACAGGGTGGATATGAGGCCAGCACCTCGCCCTCGAAGCTCTACTGTCAGGTGAACCCTTTCCTGGTGTTGTCCAGGAATTAGATTCACTCAGCATCCCCTACTTTTCCACAGGAAATCTATCACGAGTTTGGGGAATGCTGGGTGCGCCCATTTCCTTTCAGCTCTGAGGGTCTGTGACTGATGAAGTCAGACGCGTAACCCCTGGCCCCGCCCATCAGCGTCTCCCGGTCTCGCCTATGTCTGTGACCGCCCCCTGACCCCCCCACCTTGCTGCTTTCCTAGCTTGTGGAGATCATTCTCTTCTGCTTACTGCTGTACTTCTACAAGGAGAAGAACGCCAACAACATTGTCGTGATCCTTCTCTTGGTAGCGTTACTCGGTAAGTGGGGGTGTGGGTGACTGAGTTCTGCCATGACTGAGTGGCACCAGGAGGTCCCTGCTGGCTGGAGGCAGTTCCCTTCAGGGCTGTCATGCTGCTGGCTGTGTTCAGCATTCTTGCTCAAACACCGAGTCTCCTAAGTGCCAGGAATGGTCCCAACCACTGGCCATGGTGGTGCACAGGACATAAACCCCTGCCCTCAGACTGCCTCCATTGTAAAGGGAGGAAACGGCAGTAAACAAGTGGAAAAATATGTAGATAATATACATGTGGTCGGTGACAACTGCAATGAAGAAGGCAGCGTAAGTGTGAAGAGGATTAAGAGGTGATTTCAGAGAAGTCAGAGTGGAGCATGTTTCCATAACTGAGTCCTTAAGGGTTCGTGTAAAACTAATCAGAGGTTAGAACTCATGCTGGATTTATAGGCAAGAATTGATTTTGCTGTCTTTCTCTTTTTTTTTTTTTTTTTCCTTTCCTTTTAGAAGGATGGATGTGATGGGAGAAATGGTTCCTAAATCCGATTGGTGCAAGGCTCTAACCCAACATAACATTCGATTACTAAATAGAGCTGTGAGAAATACCTATTCTTCCTGGGGAAGAAGTGGGTGGGTGAAACCCTACTGCCGCCTGCTTAGTGGCTCTCCTGGTGTAAGCCACACTGCCCTCTAAAAGTGGGCATAAGGGAACACCCAGTCCTCAGGGAGATGCCTGTTGTTTCTCTTCTGTCCTTCCCACAGCAACCACACAGAGAGGTGTCACCATAGGACAGGATTGATTATTTTGATTTTTCTAGAAACAGCTTTATTGAGAGATAATTTATAGGCCATAAAATGCACCTGTTTAAAGTGTGCCATTCAGTGGTTTTTAGTGTATTCACCAAGTTGAGCAACCTCATCATCATTGAATTTCAGAACACTTTTTTTTTAAAGATTTTATTGGGGAATTGGGGGAGGGGAGCAGCGTTGGGGAATCAAGAAAAGGGAACAGACAAGTTGCTGTCCTTTTGTTCTTCAGTCTGGTTGTGGAGGATGTCGCTTCACTGGCCCATGTTGATATCATTGTGCTCTTTTCCCAGGCGAGGCAATCGGTCACTGGCCACTTGATGGCCTCTCACTGCGACTCATGGCAGCTCATGCCAGCTGCTGGCTGCCAGCCACTCACGGCAGCCCACAGCAGCCTACGCCATCGCCGGTGACTCATGGCAGCCCAGCTCCAGGTTGAGCTGTTGTTCGCCATCTTAGCTGTAGAGGGCGCAGCATCACTGGCCCTCATGTGGGATGTGAACCGCGGCCCAGCTGCTCAGAGCTGGCGCTCCCAAGCCAGCTCTTAACCAACGTGCCACATGGCCGGCCCTCAGAACATTTTTGTCACCCAAAAAGGAAACCCTGTGCCCATGAGCAGTTACTCCCCATTCCTGCTTCCCCCAGCCCCTGACAACCACTGAGCTACTTTCTGTCTCTATGGATTTGCATTTCTGGACATACTATATAAATTATATACATTATGTGGCTTTTTTTGTGACTGGCTTCTTTCGCTGAGTGTGGTTTAGAGGACCATTCAGGTTGTAGCATGTGTCAGTGGTCCATTCCTTGGCGATTTTGTTTTCAAAGTGATCACTGGGTTGGCTGTGCCCTCCATTTTTTTTATCAAGCCCTTTGGGGTGATAAACTGACTTTCAGGGTCTGGCTGCCTCCACTCATCCTGTATCCTTTCTACAGGCTCCATGACAGTGGTGACAGTGAAGGCGGTGGCTGGGATGCTTGTCTTATCCATCCAAGGGAACCTGCAGCTCGACTACCCCATCTTCTATGTGATGTTCGTGTGCATGGTGGCCACTGCCGTCTATCAAGCCACGTGAGTTACAAGTTCTCTTCCTGCTGGGTTTTGACACGCAGGGCCCTTGTGTTTTCTGGGCCTGATTGCATTTGTTTTTGAAGCCGTAGGGAAGGCCGCCTACTGCCAGGGTTTGGCACCCACTGTGGAGAGAGGGGGGCTGCTGATTTGCTGGGTTATCACGTGCAGGGCCTCTGTGCTGCTTGAAAGACAAGCCTGGGGGGTTGTGTTTGACCCTCTGCTTCAGAATGTGAGAAGTGCGCAATCAGAAGCAGCCTCACTTCCCACCTGCTCCAAGGCAGGCGCCCATTTCAGGGGTTTCAGAAGAAGCTGTGCGGCCTCTAGACACACCTGTTTGTCTGCTAGGTGGAGAACAAAAAGTGGTCATTTCTTGTCCTCAAGAAATCTTCCCCAAATTTGCCCAAGTGAAAGAGTGAGGTTATCATTTCTCTTAAGCGAAAAACAGCAGAACTGAGGGCAAGCCGGGCCTTGTTCACGTCTGAGACTTGGTGTCCAGCAGCGGGCCTGGGCAATCCTGCACAGGGACAGGAGGGTGAACTGCGCAGGTTTCGGTGTTGTGCACGAGGCTGATTCACCCTGGGCAGGTCAGGGCTCATGGTGCACCAGCGAGGCCTCAGGGATCTAGGAGTGACTGCTGTGCTGTCACTGCTTTCACATGAACTTGAATTCATTTCATCCCCACAACACCCTTTCCAGGCAGGTGATACTGTCCTCACTTTGCATATGAAGAACTGGGGCAAAGTGAGGTTAAAAGTCCAGGAAGTGGTGGAGCTGAGAATTCAACGCAGGCATCTGGGTCCCTAGCCCACGCCCCTCACCACTCCGCTCTACCGCCCCCCCCCCCCACCTCAGCTTCTCTAAGATGCAGATTCCTCCACTGCAGATGGGAGTAACAGTCCCTTCCTGAGGGAATCACGTAAAGCTTTTAGTACAGTCCCCAGGATAACGTACGGTAAATAGCAGCAGCTTTTATGATCATTATTGCTATTACTGTGTCAGTTACTACTTTTCTTAGTCCTACTACAATTCCAGTCATCACCACTGAGCCCCTTCAAGGCTCTGTGCCGAGCACTCCAGGAGTTACAAGGACGAATCAGATGCCCCGCCCACCTCCTGTATCCTTCCTGGGGAGCTTCTCAGCCAGTCAGCACCCATTCCCTGAGGCCTCCTGTGTGCCAGGCCCCTGAGGGCCTTACACACACACACACACACACACACACACACACACACACACAGAGACAAGCAGCATTAGCAACCCCCTCAAAGCGCTCACAGCCCTGGTGGGGGCAGCCTAGTAAACAGACGATTACCATTGACTGGGAAGTATGCTGTGGTGTAAGCAACTACATAAATACTATGCAGCAGAAGGACGAAGACTATATTCTGAACATGGCAGTGTTTATCCTAGATGGAGAGATTACGAATGACTCCCAAGTTTCCCTCTCTTTTTTCTATATCGATTGCATTGATCACATTATTTTTGAACTAAGAAGAAAATGTATTTTTAAAAAATAACAGTAACAATAGACTATGATAGTGATTTAAGAGTTTCTTGGAGTGTTTCACAGACCAGGAATGGCTCTTTTAAGTGGGGTAAGGACACAGGAGACAGAGGTGAGGAGGGCATTTCCGGTGACGAAAACCACGTGGTCCTGGGTGTGAGACCAGGAAGGCATGGCCTGCGTGGGAAATGGGGCCGGGCCTCAGGTTAGGTGTCTAGGAGAAGAATGGGAGTGAAGCATGGAGCCCAGACCTAGGGACACACAGGGATTGCGGCATCTTTATAAACCCAAGGAATGTTCTTTCATGAGTCATCTTCACATTTCAAACCAACTCTATTAGTAGTCATCAGCTTTCGCCTCGGCCTTTCCAACATCCTCCCAGCCCACTGACCAGAGTGCTTTTGTATTGCAGCTTTTTAAGTCAAGCTTCACAGATGTACGACTCCTCTCTGATTGCCAGTGTGGGCTACATTCTATCCACCACTGTCGCCATCACAGCAGGTAGGTGTGGTCGATTGCTAGATTTCTGTCGTCTACCTTAGCAGCAGGGACAGTACCCCAGTGTGGAGGGAGGAGAGCTCTGCCTTGGTCATACAGCCAATTCCACTGACTTGTCTGCCCATGGAGAAAGTGCAGGAGTTAGAGCCACAGAGACCTGGGCTTGCAGCCCAGCCCAGACAGAGCTGTGTGGCTCAGGGAAAATCACTTAACCTCTCTGCGCCTAAGCTCCACATTCACAAAATGGGAGAAACACTCACCTCTTAGAACTGATATATGCACAATCCGAATGTCCCCTGCTTGCCGGCGCAGGTGCAAGGTTTCTTTAACAATTTGTGCTGCCGTCTGCTAGCTCCACGGCCTCCACTGACTGAGTGACCACAGGCTTCTTCTACATAACTTTCAGAGACGGTTGGTACATGAAACATCTTCAGCACGATAGCAACTCAGTCCGTGATGATCACTATATTCCCCTTTTCTTCTACTTCACCCCTAAATTTTTTTTTTTCATTTTCTTTTCTGAGGTGGCTTTAGAGTCTGCAAGCATATCAGAGTGTGTTTGTTTTTAAGTGGCAATGCTGACTGCAATCTTCAGAGTAAAACATTCAATAAGAACCAATGGCCTAGGGGTGACCGGTTAGCTCAGTTGGTTAGAGCGTGGTGCTGATAACACCAAGGTTGCCGGTGCTATCCCCGCATGGGCCCCTGTGAGCTGCGCCCTCCTTAAAAGAGCCAACTATGCCACCGTAGCATGAAAGCAATGTGTAACCAATGACCATGGCTGTTCCCCAATAAAATTAAAAAAAAAAAAAAAAGAACCAGTGGGCCTTCCTGTGAGGAAGGCCTGGCCATGAAGCCATGTGCTCTGCAGTGCCCGTTAGACAAGGGGTGCCCAAATCCCACTTACAGAGGTAGGAATGAGCTGGCACACACCTGCTACGGCCTGTGCTGGGCGCAGTACCAGGGATCACGTAGGACATGGACCCAGAGCAGCCAGAAAGCGAACCTAATGCAAAGATGAAGGCATGGTCAAGAGCTGCGGTCCAGCCAAAGTTCAGATACTATGATCAAGTCAGAAGTCAAGCAGGGAATCAGGAGCCCAGGAAGACAGCATGAAGCCCATAGTCATGCAATGAATCCAGCCAGACGCTGGCTGCAGGGTGAGGGTGGCAGGCCCAGGTCACTCTCGTGCCATAGGAGTGGACCTGCAGGCGTGACATGTGCTGGCCACGCGAGGTTAGAATGTTCTAACACTTAAACACAAAGCCTTGTTTATCCATCTTCAGAAAGATGGGGGAAAGGAGTGTGGAAAAACTGGTAAACATGGTCTGTAGCTTAGTTTATGGGACTGTTTCATTGGGGTAAGCTGGGTACATGGGAACTCTATTATAATAGTTTTGTGAGACTGGTATTATCTCAAGATAAAAATAAAAAGTTGAGAAAAAAAGATGGAGATAAGAGCGGCCTAGGAGGGTGAGAAAGAAGACATTCTGTTCCCCCAACGGCTCTTACGCCATTCTTCTAATATTTTACTAGGCACAGTCATAGTTTTCAATCCCTTTGGTTTCCTACAGGGAAGAGAGCTTAGGCAAATCCCAGGCAGACTGGCAAGTAGGCGACTTGAAAACAGCTCACTGTGTCTTATTTATTTGCTGCTACAGGTGCAATATTTTACCTGGACTTCATCGGGGAGGACGCTCTGCACATCTGCATGTTTGCACTGGGGTGAGTTCCGTCCTGCTCGCTGGCCCCAGAGCAGTGGGTGTAGAATCCAGGCAGATAGCCTCTCTCCCCCTGTTACTGCTTCAGCCTCTCAGGCAATCCTTTAGAGCCAGGGGAGCAGCTGGGATTGGAGCTTGTCCCCAGAGGTGAGCACTTTACTCCTCCCACAGGCTGTCTCTCCTTCCCCTTTCTTTTTGGGCTTTAATCTCCTTGCCATTTCTAAAAATCACATTTTAACACATAAAGGGACTCTCAGCCTCACCTCAGATCAAAGAAAGGCATGTTGAACCTACATGAGACGCCATCGTTTTGCAAACACTACTAACAAAATTGATAATATCCCATGTTGGCCAGAGGATGAGGAGACCACACTGCCACACTGTGAGGAGTTCTTTAGTTTGACCACATCCATAAAGTTTTAAATGAGCATGCTTTTTGATGTAGCATTTCATTTCTAATCATTTATCTTAGAAAAAAAATTGAAATGGGATACAAAGACACATGTATGAGGCTATTTATTAATTTTAAAATTCATCGTATAAGCAAATAATTGGAAGCAACCTAAATGCTCAGAAGTAGAACACAGGTTAAATAAATTATAGTATACATGTATAACAAAGTACCATGCTGCCATTTAGAAAATTTGAAGCCAGTCTATAGGTACTAGACATAGAACCATGTGTAGTATGCATTAGATGGAAAAAGTTCAATTTTTTTTTATGCATAGAGATGCACTAAGATCCAACAATTCCACCTCTAGAAATCTATCCAAAAGAAATGAGTACATATATTAACAGAATGACTTGTACATGAATATTTATAGTAGCTTTATTCATAATATGCCCAAATTGGATACAACCCAAATGTCTATCAACAGGAGAGTGGAAAACAAATTGTAGTATATTCAGACAATGAATTCAACACAACAATTAAAAATAATGAACTACTGGGCCAGCCGAGTGGCTCAGTTGGTAAGAGCGCGAGTGCTGAACAGCAGGGCTGCTAAGTTCGATTACCACATGCGCCAGTAAGCTGCGCCCTCTACAGCTAAGATTGTGAACAATGGCTCGACCTGGAGCTGGGCTGCTGTAAGTGGCCAGCGACAATTTAGGCTGCAGTGGGGCTACAGTGGGCTGCCATGAGCTACCGTGAGTGGCCGGCAGCCAGTGTAAGTGACTGGCAGCCTGCAAAAGCTGCCGAGAGCCACCATGAGCCGCCATGAGCGGCTGTCCAATGGCCGGCAACCACTGCCTCAGCCAGGAAGAGCGCAATGATAATACCAACATGGGCCTGTGAAGCGATGTCCTCCACAACTAAACTGAAGAACAAAAAGACAACAATTTGGCTGTTCCCTTTCCTGGTTCCCCAATACTGTTCCCCTCGCCTAATTCCCAAATAAAATCTTAAAAAGCAACAACAACAAAAATAATGAACTAGTAATACACACGATAAAGTGGATAAATCTTAAAAACATACATCGGATGAAAGAAACCAGACATCAAAGAATCATACACACTATGATTTAACTTATGAGGAATTCAAGAACAGGCAGATCGAATCTGTGGTGAGAGAAGTCAGAATAGTGGTTTCCTCTGGGGAAGGGCTACACGAATTTGGAGGGGGCACAAGGACGCTTTCTGGGGCTGGAGGGAACGGAAATGCCTTCTCTGTTGACCTGGTGGTTCACACGTGTGTATACACAGGTAAAATGCATGGAACTCTATATTTAGGGTTTGTGCATTTTACTGCATGAAAATTATTCCTCAATTTTTAGAAAGTATGCTTGTTTATATCTAAGCTCTAGAGAAAAGAAAAAAAAAAAAAAAGGACTGGAACAGTATACACCTACCTGGGAAAATGGGGCTGGGGAAGTATAGGGACTTTCCAATTTTTACTTCCTCCTGTATTGATTGAATTTAGGCCATAAAGAACTTTTATAATTTAAAAAAAGAAAGTTTTTGGTGCTGGCAACTGGCTCAGTTGGTTAAGAGTCAGCTTAAGAGCACAAGCTCTGAGCAACAGGGCCGCCGGTTCGACTCCCACATGGGCCAGTGATGCTGCGCCCGAGCTGAGCTGCCGCTGAGCTGCCAACAGGTGGCAGGATGGCTCAGCTGGTGTAATAGCAAGATTGCCTGTTCAATGGTGGGCTACACCCACCCACAACTAAGACTGAACTCGGCACCTTGAGCTGAGCTGCCACCCAGATGGCTCAGTAGATAGAGTGTGCACTCTTAACAATAAGTCTGCTGGTTCGACTCCCACATGGGATGGTGGCTACACCCACCCTCAACTAAGATTGAACACAGCACCTAGAGCTTAGAGGCCACAAGCTGCCGACGGGAAGCCAGATGGTGACTGGTGCCCTCCACAACTAAGACTGAAGAACAACAACTTGGCTGGTCCTCTCCTCCAATTCCCCAGTAAAATCTTAAAAAAAAAAAAAAAAGAAAGAAAGTTTTTAAAGGCAAGTTTCTGAGATACCAGTTAAGTGGAAGTGAAGAACCGTGAGAATTTTGCCTGGGAGAGTCTGATTTATTCTGATGGAGGCTTGTGCAGAGTGTAGGGTATATGGGGCTGCACGGGGTGTTATTATTCATCTCGGGTCTGCTCCCTGCTGATCTCTGGCCCAGCAGCCTCTCAGGGCTGCTCAACAGCAAGCTCCCCTCCGCAACCTGCAACCTTCCTTAGACTTTTGTCCCATTACCTGGGTTTGAAAATATCCCTCCCACCCAACCTCCCTCTGGCCTAATTTCTCTTCCTCTCTTATCCCTGTTCCTCAGGTGCCTCATTGCATTCTTGGGTGTCTTCTTAATCACACGCAACAGGAAGAAAGCCATTCCATTTGAGCCCTATATTTCCATGGATGCCATGCCAGGTAACGTTAAAATTCCTTGTCTCCAGCTGGCCAGCTCATCCATATAGAATGACTGCTACTTCCTGTGTCGTACAGGGAAGGTGTGCTGTGCCGTTTTGATGCTGTTATGATGTGACTGTCTCTTTTTTTTTTTTTAATCTCGGTGGACAGAAGAGGAGGCAGTGGGAAATGGCTGAGGAGCTTCAGTTGGTTTTGAGCACGTCTTACCAGTACCCATGTCTATTTTAGGATCTTTTAAAGACAATCCTGATTCACACTGGATATAATGATGATCTGCAGCCCCAGGCTTCATGCTGGCAAAAGGAAAAAACTCATTTATCTAGTTAGAATGGAATGATCAGAGAAGGGGAAAGAATATAGGATGAATGAAATTTAAATACTATAACCTCACCCCTGAAGAGTCCACAAGAGCATGATTTGTTCTGGAAAGCCTAATTTCCTGGGTTGCTAAGGAAGGGGTCACACTGAGAAGCACAAGTTCAAATGCCCTGAAGGCATGCCAGTAACATGACCGTGTGCATCAGCACAGCACTGCACAAAAGGGAGTAGCGAGGCCTGTGGAGAACTGGAGGGTACCTACCTATCCAGCCTACAGGGATCCAGATTAGAAAAGTTAGGATGATGGGCCAGCCCCGTCGAGGTTTGCTGAGCTAAATTTTTGGGTTGCCCGGGACCACTGGCTTTCGCTCTTTAACTCACAATTTTTACTTTAGATAGGTAAGATGGGAACTCGCTCTGAAACAGAATCTCCCACCCTTCCTTAAGACAGTCTAATGAACAAAATATAATCACACTGATGGCATCAAGTGCTGCTTAATAAAGAGCTGTGATGCAGGTGTTCTCAGGGCTGACTGAGGTGCCCCGACCTCAATTGACCCCGGGGTTTATGTGTCTACTTTTTGTATTATTTCCTCATCTCTTGCTATTAAGCTGTTGTCTGTCCCTCTTGCCGTAACCAGCATAGCAACTCCATGGCAGTCTTCTCATTTGCCCAACTTGTTCGAATTGTGTATGAAGTTAAAATAAATAAACCCTGAGTTGGGGCCTGAAGGTTTCTCCTAGGAGTTAAATGCATGAGCTTTTAGTGCATGGACTTTTTACACATCTAATCTGGCTGCTCAGATGCCTTTTTTGCTTACTTCCTTGTTCTCGGCTGTGTTCCGGATAGATGAGGGCGCTGGATAGCTGAATCCCAGATAGGTGAGGTGTCAACTCTGTGTGTGTGCAAGTATGTGTATATACCTGTGTGTTTGTGTGTTGATCAACTGTGTATGTGTATATAGCTACATAAGTGTTTGTATATGCATATATATATATATATATATATATATATATATATATATATATATATATATACATATATGTTTTTTCTGGTAGAAAATAGAAGGTAANACAGATGTATTTTCTGGTAGAAAATAGAAGGTAACTGAAGGTAATCCTAGCTATCAACATTCTGTAATCTGTTTGTGGATGTGATTCTCACTTTCTCTTTGTACCTTGTGATCAGTGGGAAGTCAGATGTTGAAAAAAGGCAGACCCTGCCCTGTGGCTATGGTACGTCAGGACACTTCTGAGTAGCCATGTGTTGTGTGCTATGCAGAGCGTGGGCTTGGAGTTCAAATGACCTGGACTCAAATCCCAGCTGTACCCCCTTACCTGCTCTATGACCTTGGGTCTGGACCTCCCAAGGCCTCTGACCCTCACCTGTAAATTGGGACTCCTTTCAGGGTAGAGGAATCACATATTAAAGGCCCCTCACATAGTGCCTGGGACATGGTAGATGCCTGGTTGAATTTGGTTTCACTCCCCTTTTGCTGTAAAAACTTGGAAAATTTCAAACACTTGTTTGACCTAATGCCAGGTAGAACATGAAGAATGAAACTGCTTAAGCAGAGTGGCTTTTCTAGCTGTTTGGTTTCCTGGTTAGCATCAGGACCTTGCTTTTTGGTCTACTTAGATTGGTAGCTTCACAACAGACCAGTAGCTACTGTTCAAGAGGCATTCAGATTCCAAAAATCTACTACGTGTCACAATTTGGAGAGGCTTTAAGTAATTCTAGCACCTGAAAGACTTCTAAAAAAGGAGAAAGAGAAAAGCAGTCCCTGATGGCCAGGAGTTGGGCCTTGGTGGCCCCTGGCTGAACATAAACAGTTTCACAAATCCACATGAGACAAGGCCACTCAGTGACCCTGATGGATACAAACAGGACCACTCTGTAATCATGCCTGAACACAGACAATACATGAACGTTTTCCAAACCACAAAAAGGACCAACCATCCCCTTGTCACTCAGTCAATGTGAGTGACAGCTGCTCTTTACCAATCACAGCTTTAGCCTCTATCTGGTCTGCCCTCCTTCTAGATAAGAATTATTAAGATCCCCAATTATAGAATTATCCCCACTTCCTGCCAGTATCTAATCCAAAGCAAAGCCCTGCTTCCTTAAACCGTCCCTCAAATCATCTAACACAAACCCAAATAAGTCCTTCCTAATACTTTCTTACTAAAACACCCACAGTTACCCACAGTGTCCATCTCCCTCATTGCAATGAGTCAGTATACCCAAATTTGTTAGACTGGAGGATGTGTTCCTGGTGACTTTTGGCTAGAGAGCACTGACAAAATCCAAAAGCTAAACTATGCCTGGTAAGCCAATTCTCTTCCCTGAGGAGTAGGCATCCCCTCATCTGCTTCCATCCACCCCCCCCCACACACACACACACCCAAACCACATACTCTTAAACTGTACCCTTCAATTGACCATCAGCTAAGGTTTGTACAATGTGGGAGCAAAGGACCTTCCACAAAATGGGTCTTCCTAGCCCATTTGCAGAGTGAATAAGAATATGGGCTTTGGCATCCGACCCAGCTGCCTCACATTAGCTGTATGACCTTGGGCAAGTTACTTCACCTTTCTGAATTTCTGGTTTCTCATCTAGAAAATGAGGGTAGTAGCGTATCTCTGTCATAGGATTTGGGGGGATTAAGAGCAGGTGTATAGAGAGGGCCATACAGCATTCTGGGTAAGAATGTGGGCTTCAGAGTTTAAACCACCCAAGTTGGAACCCCGGCACTGCCACTTAGTAGTTTTTTGACCTCCAACTGCCTCATTTTCCTTATCAGTGGTTGTGAGGATCAAATGAGATCAAATTTGATAACTTTAGAATGGTGCCGTCACCAACTAAACATTCAGTGCACGTTACCTATTATCATTATTGCTGCTGTGGTTACTATCACTATTTAAAGCACTTAGCCCAGTGCTTAGAGTCTATTAAGCAGTCAGATGTCAGCTGTTATTATCATCATAATTTCATGGAAAATGCTTTGCATTCAATTTCTTGGGACTCAGCCTGGGGGCAAGAGAATTTGAAGGGTTTTGGTTCCCTACAAGAAAAGACGTGGCCTCAGAGAAGAGCAAGTCCCACCTGATGAGTGGAGTTGTAGAATAAAGTTAAAGGAATTAATGATTATAAAGTCTTTGCCCTCAAATGTAAATAGAAACCCAACATCAACGTGCCCAGAAGTAATAAGCAAAATCTCACTTTACCCCCTTATATGTGGATCAGGGATGTTAATGTTGAGATCAAGACTTTCCCTCTGAGCATCGTGATACATATGTCACTATCACGTGTCCATGACACAAAAGTTACCCTCTTCTCTCAACAGTATAGCAGAGTTTTCTGGATCCTGATTTAATTCAGCAGAAAAGTGATGGCATCTACCACGTTCAAAGCACTCCCCCTGTGGCCCAAACAGACATTCCCACCTCATTCTAGCCCAACCCATGGTTGCTGTTCACAGTGGCTGATCTGGGTGCATATTTACTGCAAATTCATCCCTTGTTGCTTAGCAACTGTAATATTTCTCGTGTATATTTATGGCTATTTCTTTTTTTCAATCTAAAGCATTCAGGAAATTGACAATGCATACGATTAGCTGTCAAGTACTATAATTAGTGGTGGGATCGAGGAAGGTGCAGCCTCCTCTGGCCCCCTCACATCATAATGATTTGGGGAAAATCCGTTTCATTTCAGGTATGCAGAACATGCATGACAAGGGGATGGCCGTCCAGCCTGACCTCAAAGCTTCTTTTTCGTACGGAGCCCTGGAAAACAATGACAACATTTCTGAGATCTATGCTCCTGCCACACTGCCTGTCATGCAAGAAGAACACAGCTCCAGGAGCACCTCTGGGGTTCCCTACCGAGTCCTGGAACACACCAAGAAGGAATGAGCCCACCTTGGCGGAGACTTGCCTTCCCTCCACTTATAACTGCTCAAGCCTTGCCTACAGTGGTTCAACTCTTTCATTCTAAAACTTGCCTTTCAGGTCTTTTTTTTTTTTTTTTTTTAACTGAGAACTCAAAGGATGGGGATCTTGAAAAGGCTTTGTCTCTGGAAAAGGATGTGTGGTCTTGGTCTTGGAAATTTCGAATGTTGAGGGTGGGAGGTGAGGGGATGAGATGAAAGCAGTATTCCAGGTGGGCAGTAGGGAATTCGGCCTCTGCCATGGGTTAGCCCACCCTGGAAAGCCTTTATCATCCTTCAGGATGGTCACAGAGCTTCCTCAGTCAATGACCAAAGGTTGCCATGTTCTCAGAGCTAAAGCAAGGCACAGATTCCGCTCTTACGTTCCAAATCCAGTTAAAGGCTGGAGACCTCTAAGTCTGGTCTTCCCCCACCTCACGTGCAGGCCTGATCTCCACCCATCTCACTCCTGATTCTATATTTGCGATAACATTGGTGTTACCTTCACGTGGCCTAGTGGACCAGCCCCGGGTGGAACATGCAACATGCTCTCGTTTGCCTGTAGGAGATGCTCGTCTGCTTCCCCAATGTCTGTGCCATGCCAGCGAAAACGTGCTTGATGTGTTCATATTGGATCTACTCTGAAAACTAATTTGGTTTTGGTTCTGTGAACTACTTGATTGCTTTTTTTCCCCCAAAGGAACTGGGAAGTTAAGAGAAGAAAGGAGAGAATAAGGACAGAAGCAGAGTGATGACACTTCAGCACATAAGGGAGGGAGAATCCTTTTCCATCTTATGAAAGGTGACTGCATCACTTATACAAGGACAGACAGAAAATGTTTTATAAGCACACTGGTACCTCCTGGGAAGAGTGGGGGTGTTCATTTCAGAGACCCCTTCTCTCCCCTCCCCTCCATCCTCTCCTTTATAGATCGACAAACCAAGCTTGAATTATTGATTACTTTTCTGGGAGTCGACAGAGACTCTTTGGGTCCTCTCCTCCATACACATATGTCTGGGAGACCCAAGTGTTCCCAGAAACGGGGCTGCTGCCTTCTTTCCGGCTGCATACAGCTTTCCCCCTAGACCAGCTGTATACTTTTGAGAATGGCAGGGAAAGGTTTGCAAACTTTCATGAGCATAAGGATCCCCTAGGGTGTTTATTTAAAATGCAGATTCCTCTAGCCCAACCACAGATGCTCTGTTTAAGTGGGACTAGGAGCATCACACACCTTGAAAGCCTAGTAATTGAGAGACATGGTCTGTTCAAACCCCCAGGGCCTGATACATTCCTACGGGAGAGTTGAAATTACCATTCCTTTGTTTTCTCCCTAGGGTTCACTTGGCAAGTCAGATAATCCCCATAGACCCCGAGGCATTTCTCCATTCATTGATTACTACTTAGAGCTACACTTACTGCTTCCCGCCACAGCCTTTAACTAATAGGCAAGAAAACAGTGTTAATAGACCGTGTTGCTAGATCATTAACCTTTATTGATTATGCTTAATACTGATTTAGTAACTTGACTTCAAAAACTGTTGCCTGTGGTAACCACTTGTGTATTGTGTCTGAACCACTTCTGTATTGTGTCTTACATGCCCTAAGAGGGCAACAGACAATGACTGACTTTTTCCCCTTTAGGGTAGGTATCAGCTCAATTCAACAATATTTATGAGACATTTACTGTTTGTTAAGCATTTGGATGGTGAGAGCAGAAAAGATGAAGAATAGTTCCTGCCCTCCAGGCCAGCAGGGGGAGATACAGATACCTGGGAAACTGGCAGAGCCGACGAGTACAACCGCAGACCACAGAAAAATGATAGTGATGGAGGTCCTGCTAAAGGTCAGGCCCTGAGCCTAAAATGGGGTATTCAAAATGGAGGTGATTTTGGCCCCACTCTTTGATGGGTGGCAAATCTAACTAAGACTTGGGCAAAGCATTGAAAGTAGGGTGATCACCCCTCAGGCAGAGAGACCAGCATTTGCAAAGGCACAGAGATAGGAAGGTGGAGATGGCAAGGAAAGGAAAGCCGGGGAAGGTGGTGGGAGAGGAGCCTGGAGAGATAAGCAGTGGAAGCCAAGTCATGGAGGGCCTTGAATGCCTGACAGAGGAGTTTCAAGTGTATCCTAGAGGGTACGGGAGCCAGGGATGGTTCATGAGGAAGAGAATGGCGGGATCAGCACTGAGGAAAGGAGACCTTATGTAGTGTGGAGGAAGGATCTGAAGGGATAATAAACGTCACTCTTCAAGGTCAGGCTGCAAGCCTGCCAGAACAGGACAAAAGGAGAATTAAAATTCGGTTTTGCTGCTCTTCAGAGGAGGTGGACATCAACTTTCCATTCACAGTCCTGATCCTTACTTTTTTTCTCATGGCTCTGACATCCCCAAGCCTTCTCGAATGTTCCAAGCTATGGTAAACATCATGCCTCCATCTCCTTCCTAGCAGCCAGGATGTTAAACTTGAGTTTAAGCTTTTCAATTGTTCTGTGGTCTTCCTCTCCCCACCCGACTCTGTCCCCCTTGTCTAGGGGCTGGGATTCTGGCTTACCTTACCAGATGTTAGAACCAGTCCTCCGCCTGCCTGCGGGTTTTGATGACAGGTCAGCCCCCCTCCCCACCTGACTCCTCCCATGAAGCTGCAGGTCTGATGATGGTATCACATTAAGCTTTAGAACAAATGGGGGCGTTGCAGTGTGGAATTAAATTCTGGGTAGAAAAGGGAGAACCGACATCTCCATTGCTTTTCTGGTATAAACCAGCCAGTTTGGTGCTGGCTGTGTGGATGCAAGATGTCCATCAGGGTAGTGTTGGGGAGCTCCACCCTGCATCCTTGTGAATTCGAAATCTGGTCCAACACTGGCTAATAGGCAGAAAGAATTTACTGTGTGTTTCTCTGAGAAGCTGTGTAAATGAAGTCATCTTAGAATATATTCTATGTGGATGCTTATATTTTGTTAACTTCATGACTAATATGGCATGTCTGGTTTTTCAAAAAAAAAATGTGTGTGCTAGGTGCAAATAAAATTATGAAGTGGTATTTAATTTTAAAACAGCCCATGTGATACCTGTTGAGTTTGAGTCTTATATTTGGCTAATACTTTTTAGAGTTATCTAGAGCCATGCTGTTCAATAGAACTTTTCTGTGATGATAGAAATGTTCTGTGTCTGTGCTGTCCAGTATGGCAGCCATGATCCACATCCATTCTGACTGAAATAAATCACAGTGATTCAAAGAAAGAAAACAGACCCACTCTGGGCATTTCTAATCTGCCGCTGCCATTTTGAAAACCGAAGACTTGTGAATTCAGAAAAGGCTCAAAGCTCCTTGGGATACTTTGGAAGTAAACGAGCAAGATAGAAGTCAGGGCTCTTAGTCAGTTCACCTCAGGCCAACTCACCTAAAGCCAAGCAGGTTGATCTAAGACCCACTTGGATAAATGTGTTTATCTAATTTGTATTTCAGTTTTAACCCATCCTTTGCAGGCCTCGCCAGACCATGACTTTGGCTAACAATACTTTTTATACCCAGACTATTATTATATCACAAGTGTCTTAAGATTGGACACTAACCCCCTTCAATGTGACATTCACTCTCCTAACCCCATCTACATTTTTGAGAGATTCTCAGGGAAGGTTTCAAGTGTACTCTGTGTTCTGTAACATATCTTGGGCTTTCTACTCTGACTTTCGCATCTGCCATGACCTCTGCTCTAAGGCCTTTTTTGAGACCAGTGCTCAGCGAGGTCAGCTGTCCCCTACTGGTGACCTCCAACTGACACACCCAGCTCCCACCCTCTGGTCCTAGATAGGAAACAACCCTTACCATGGGCCTTCCTGCCCGTCCCTGTCCCCCCCAGCATTGAACAGGCCCCACTCAACAGCCATTGGAAATGGCTTCTTGGGAGCCCAAACATAACCTCAGGAGCCCTTCACAAGCAGGAGCCTCACCTGGCTTCAGGTAGGCCATCACAGGGCCAGTAACCCATTTCCTTTCTCTTCTACCACGAATCTGAAAGTACCTGAAAATCCAGCCCTCATTGACCCCACTGGGCCCAGGAAGAGCAAGTCTTTCCTTGAGAACTTGACTTACATCTGCTTCCTCAAAAAAGCCCAATTCAGTAGGCCCTCCCAGAACTGACAACTCAGGCCTCCACCCTAGAAGTCAGAAAGTATTTCAAATGGTAGATTTTTCCAGCTTCAGCATTATTAAGGTCTTTACCAAGCACCCCCTTACACTTGATGAGAGAATAATGTCACTGTAGTCCTGCAGACAACTGGCAACATCAATGTGAATGCTGGTAGCATTTGAAACCCACTCAAGTGGCCCCACATATCATAGCACAACCGCACACAAAGATCCCCGGTTTGACCAGGTAGGTGGGTTTTAAATGTCATCTAGATTTTTGCCGATGCTGCTACATGACCGAAGGAAGACCATGTAGCCTATCGAAGCAGGACACTGGGACACAGCACAGCATTGGGGCTAAAGGTGCAGAATTGGGAGTTTACACTCTGTGACCATGGGAAAGGACATAACCCCTTGAAGCCTCAGTTTCCTCATCTGTAAAATTGGGATGATAATACTGCCTCCCTCACAGGTTGTTGTAAGGATTGAATATAAAACAATGCCTGGAATGTAGTCAAGTCTCAGTGTTAGCTACTGACATCTTTCTTTAAGCTAGGGTGCAGTGTAATTAGAGGCACAAAGCCACAAGGCCAAAGTCAAAGAGCTTCGTGCTTAGGTTTTAGCTTCCTGCATTTCCTGCATTTGGGTCTTGAGGTTCTACAGTGGTCACCTTACTGAAGAAGGAGGATTACTGTCCCAAAGACTTGTATCTCGTGAGTGGGTTTCTAACAAGTTTAACTTCATCTCTAAGTTTGCAGGTATCTTTATATTAAATCCTTCCTGTCCAAATCACTCTGTGATTCCTGTCTTCTGATCAAACACTGATAGTCAAGGAAAATAAAAATATTGAATTCCTGGGCTATTCATGCAGCCGTCCATTTTTTTTTTTTTAAGATTTTTATTGGGGAATTGGGTGAGGGGAACAGACAAGTTGTTGTCCTTCAATCTTAGTTGTGGAGGGCGCAGCAAGCTCAGCTCCAAGTCAATTCGTGCTGCTCAGCTCAAGGTGCTGAGTTCAATTAGTTGTAGGTGGGTGTAGCCACCATCCCATATGGGAGTCAAACCAGCAGCCCTGTTGTTAAGAGTGCACACTCTATCCACTGAGCCATCCAGGCAGCAGCTGAGCTCAAGGTGCCGAGTTCAGTCTTTGTTTGGGGGCGAGCGTAGCCCACCATCTTGAACAGGCAGACTTGTTGTTAGGAGCATGTACTCTCACCAGCTGGGCCATCCTGCCACCTGTTGGCAGCTCACCTCAGGTGCAGCTCACTGGCCCATGTGGGAATCGAACTAGCAACCTTGTTGCTCAGAGCTCGCACTCTTGACCAAGCTCTTAACCAACTAAGCCACTCGGCCAGCCCATGGATTCTTTAATAATGTTAGATTCACTGGAAAAAGAATTTAAGTTAGAGTCTTACCCCATGTTTTATACTAAATTCCAATTAAATGAAAGTGGTAAATGTAAAAAATAAATCATCAAAAAAATGAAGGTTACTATTGATTAGATGTCAGCAAGGGGGAAAAACAAGTGAAAAAGTAAAGATTGGAACATATACATACAAACTAAAATTTAAAAGTATCTGTGTTATCAAAACAAGGAAAATTTCCAAAAGAAATTACAAACTGAGAACATTTTCAATAAATATGATAATCACAGCATTGCTATCTACATTATGTTGGGGGTTCCTGTAATCAATTAAACAATCTTAATAGCACAATAGAAGACTGAATAAAGAATTTACACAGTTTTCAAATAAAATATACATGAAAAAATGTTCAGCCTCCCCAGTAATCATATGCCATGGGGTTGTTTTTGCCTATTAAACAGGAAAGACTTTTAAAAATAAATACAATAGTTGGTATTATTGAGGATGTGACAAGACACGAACTGAGGATATGGAAGTTTGTATAGCCTTTCTGGAATGCATTTTGTCAATTTTCAATAGCAATTTTTTAAATGTTCATGCCTCTTTTCCTAGTAACCTCTTTGGGAATCTATGCTAAGGAAATAATCATAAATGTAACAATATACTTATATATAAAGGTATTCATTGTATAGCTAATTATGTAAGAGAAAACGCTAAAGAAATCTTGATTCCAACAATGAATGATTAAATAATGGGATACACACAATGCAATGTTATGTGGCCATTTAAAACATGTAAAAATGGTATTTTGAAACACAAGGCAATGCTTGTAATATAATGCTAAGCAAAATAAATGGGAGGTCCAAACTGAATGATTTCAGGGAGGCGTACTCCTAACCACTTTCAGTTTCGTGCTGCCAGAGTCAAATCAATAAATGCTCAAATAAACTCTTTAAAAAAATAAAAGAATGATTCCAATGATATACCTAATCTTACCAAAAAAGGACTTGTAGGAAATATACCAAAATGTTGAATAGTGGCTATCTCTGGACCATGGGGTTGTAAGTGATTTTAATTTTCTTATGTATTTTTTTGTTTTCAAAGTATCCATAAAGGGCAAGTCTAATTTTTATAATGATAAAATTGAAGATATCAAAAATCTACATCACTCATCTCCCAACCAATGTGGAACGCGGTGTTGGTAAGAAGCTTCACTCCCCCAGCAAGCTGTTGGATCATGTTCCAACTCGCTTCTTCGGGGAATGAATTATTTTCCCAGGAGTGGGAGACAAACGAGGGTGTTCCCAAGGAAGGCAGGCTAACTTAAGGCCCTTCAGGAAATGGTACCATCTGTCAGGCCAATCCACAGGAGATCTAGTGTGTGGCAGATGGTGAACTTAAATACCGAGTACACCCAGGTGCACGTTAATGAGGCTTTGACAGAGAGGTGAGGTGGCAGGCAGGCTTCTATCTTCAGCCTTCTTTCTCTGTCACTACGTGCTCACTCATGAGGTGATCTCTCTCACAACCAGAGGCAACTGCTTCCTCCCTCCCTTTCTCACTTCCACATTTATTAAGCACTTACTATATACCAGAACTGGATATAGGAGTTGGGCATCTATCAGTGAACAGACTAGTCGCTGCCCCCATCAAATTGATACTTTAGTAGGGATTTAGGCATCAAACTAGGAATTGCATAATTATCCTCTTAACCATAATTGTGACAGATGCTATGAAAAGTAATACAGGGAACTATGGGATGACTCACAGGGAATTATCAGTTGGGATTAGGTTTGGCTGCAACAGATACCTAACAATAGAGAAAAATATTTGTTTCCCAAGTAAAGGCAGTCTGGGATACGATACGCATAGGTAACCCAGAGTTGGTAGAGCAGCTACAGTGTCACAGGGATCCAGGCTCCTCATCTGTTTGACCCACCATCCCAGCATGTGGCTTCCATCTTCTAGGTTACCTCCTGGTCCAAAATAGCTGCTGGAGCTCCAGCCATCATATTCACATTGCAGGCTAGAAGAAAGAGGAACAGTAGAAGAGCAAAAGATACCCCTCAGCTCAATCAGCTTCCTTTTGCTTGCATCTCACTGGGCAAAACTGTCATACCTTCCTTCAAGGGAGGCCACACATTGCTACCTTGAATAAAATTTACCTAACACGGTAAAATTTACCTAATAAGATAATACAAACCTAATAAGGACTTGTAAACTGATTATAAACCAACTAATGTTTACTGAACATCAGTAATGTATCTAATACTCTGCAAAGCATATATCATCAACACCATTTAACAGACGAGAAAAGTAAGGTTCAGTGGGTTTAAAGAGCTTGCTTGAAGATTTTACAACTGGTTAATGGTGGAGCTGACCCCTAAAGCCATCGCTCTTCATTGTAGTTTGCTGCCTTCCCACCAGCAACTGAAAAAATGGAATGAGAAGGAAGTTCCTTAGTCTTGTTCATTGGCTATATTTAAAGAAAGCCACTTTTCTTTCCATTTAAAATGCGCTGATGCTATGCAGCCAACGGAAAGAACTGAGGAAGAAGTAACGCAAAAGCAGGGACTTGGTCTATTTTGTTCACTGCTGGCTTCCCGATGCCTAGAACTGTGCCTGGCTAGAGGTAGACCTCCAATAAATGTGTGTTGAATATACAGTACAGAAAGAGCTTTTCCATAACTCGCGGATGTTCCCTTGTGCCCCTTTCCAATCAATCCCACCCCTCAGAAGTAGCCACTATTCTGATGTTTATCACCATAGATTAGTTTTGCCTTTTCCTGAATTTCATATAAAGGGAGGAATCCTACATATGTAACTCTTTGGTGTTTGACTTCTTTTGCTCAACAATTGTTGTTGTTTTTTTGAGATTGATCTAGGCTGTTATCAGTAGTTCATTCTTTTTTTTTTACAGTTGTGTAGTATTCCATGGTTTGAATATACCACGGTTTATCTGTTTTTCTTTTGAGAGACCCTTGGAGTATTTCCAGTTTGTGGATATTATGAATAAAGATGTTGAAGTGGATTCTTGTATAAACCTTTTGGGGTGGGGGGACATTTGCTTAAATTTCCCTTGAGTATACTCGTGTATCTAGGAGTAGAATTTCTGGGTCATAGGGTAGGCACTTTCCAAAAATGGCCATCTCCTCTTACATCCACCAGCAATGCATGAATGTGAGATGGGGATCTTTCTATCACTTCTATTACTTCCCCAGCACAAACCTAATAAGGACTTTTTCAAGTACTGACTTTAAAATCTATTCCAATAAGAATAACAAAAAAATGAAAGCACCTGTCTGGAAATTCTCCTGAAAGGCAAGAGCTGGGTTATTCAAGATCTGCAGCATCATCTGACAGGTTCTACTTGAGTTTTCCAGGACAGCAAAACACTTAATCAACCTTGGCACGGCTTTCAGTGGATTGAGCCACGAGGGATCAATTTCTCTCTCTCGTTTTCTCTCTGTCTGTAACTCAAACCTCACAGTGATGAGGAAAAAAGGGAGGGAGTGTTATAAATGGGAAGTTCATTCATAACAAGTATTTATTACACATTGTGTGCCCGGCGCCTTGCTGGACACAGTGGTAAAGAGGAAATATAGGGAAGATTCCATTCTCGTTCTTGAGCTGCTCGTAACCTAGTTGATGGATGCAAGATGGCAACTCTTTCTCTGCCCACCATGTAAAGGTTGATGTTGCTTTGGATTCCGCCCTTTGCCCTTTCTGTGTTCTGTTCCTCATGCTCTCCCTGGGTCATCTCATGTGAGCCCATGATTTTAACTACCCACCACACCTCCCTCCAACATCACTACGCCTCGTCTGAGCTCACTACTAAGCTCCATACCTACGTTTTCCAACTACTTCCATCCTCAGCTCCTCTCTAATGCTCATAACCTACATATCATTTATCAGTAAATCCTGTTAACTTTGCCCTTATAATATCGCCAGAATCATACTATTTTTCACCACTTCCTCCTCTCTGAGCCTGTACAACCCATTATCCTCTCTGGTCTGCATTATTGCAAGAGCTCTACCAAACCAGTATCACTCTTATTGCTGTTGCCTGCTCTTTATCATTTCTCTTTCTTTTGGTAATAGAAACTTGAATTACCTTTGGTGAATGTAACCATCGGGGTTCCAGGAGAAGGTTAATCTGAGGGGAGTTTGGTAAAGGTTATTTACAAATGTGTGGGCAGGGTTGAGAGAAACTAGGAGGAATGATTGTGATGCTCTGAGGCTGCCAACAGAGAGAAGCCATTACCACCTCTAGGCCAAGAAAAGGGAGGCTGTACCAGAACTAGGAGAGTCACTTAACAGAAGCCTCAGTGGATGTATGTAGCCAACCTGCAGTGACCTGAAAGGGAAGGGGGTCCATGGAATAACACCCTTACTTCATCCTCCTCCAACCCTCTGATCACCTCCCAATGTCTTCTATTGGATAAATTCAACTGTAAGCCAGAAGACAAGGGACCCACTGAAGAACTCTATGCAGCCTTCTGAGGCACAAATCAGGAAGAAGAAGTGTGGAGAGTAGGCCTGAGGGGACCAACAGAAAATACCTCACACAGGAAGTCACTTCTCCCCAGTTCTTGGTCCATGAGATTTGAGAGCTGCTAACCTCACCCCGGTTCCAGAGATGCACACATGACCCAGGCCTGGGCTGTCAGATATTCCATGCCCCTTCTCAAGACAGTGGTTTAGTGATACATGAGTAATCCAAGTTAGACCAACAAGCAGCAGTCCCAGGACTTTCGTTGACAGCATCAAGGAAAAGAAACTTTCTTTCTGCTAGTAAGGATGTAACTGGAAGTTGTAAGCAGCCATTCTTCCATCTCATTGAATCTTTCTTACCCCCAAAACCAACACAAAGGTATACCTATATGTCTCTATGCTGTTATTTCAATGGAATGCCCTTTCCCATATCCTCTACTTAGAAAACTCCAACTGAAATAGCCTCTTAACTGCAAAGCCTTCCCTTAATTTTCTAGGTAGAATTGTTCACTTCTTTCTCTGCTTTGTCAGCACTTTGCAACTGCCTCTATGAGCACATGTATAAAATCGTACCACCATCAGCTGTTTGCTTAGCGGTTTCTGCTATCTGTGAGCCCTTGAAGAGGGAGATTTGGGTGGGTGGGCCTCACCCTTCCAAGCCCAGGGCCTAATACCTCAGGGAAACTCTGAGTTCAGGCTAAAGCAATCTATTTTCAGACCTCTCAAAGCCATTTTGGGGTTAATGCACACTATATGGATCCCCAAACAGGGGTACGGAATGCTGAAGTTTCTAAACTCCTTTGACCTGAAAACTCAACTTTTGCCAAAGTTGCTGTGTTAGACGAATATAGACAAAAAAATTACTGCGGGTTCTTAGGGTGACCTTAACGAAAGAAGTGGCTCTCAGTATTTGTTAAGTGAATGAAAGGGAATAACTTGGTTAGGTCAAGGTGGCGTGCAGGGGCAGCCAAATTGGACGCAACAAACAACAGAAGCAATGAGCAGGAAGCAGGAGGGGGTGATCTATTGGACATATCTCTCTGATGGTGCAAGGCCAACAGTTAAAAGAGTGATTGGGACCATAATCCAACCCCGCTTCCTTAGTTTAAATCTAACAGAGATTAGATGTCTTCTACTACACATTTCAATCCTTCTTCCTCCCCCAAACCCCAGGTGCTGAGTGCCTGACAAAACTGCCTCCTTGATTTTGACCTTCAATTTGCTTCACTTTGACCCTGAGGGGCTATGGGTGGATGATCACAACTGATTTTCTTTCAACTGCCCAGGCTTAAGACCAGTTCCTTTCTTGTTCTGTGCCTGTTTCCCTTGCTGTGAACTAAGGGAAGAGACCCAGGCTCCCTCCCAAGCTTGGTCCAGATGTCCTGCAAAAAAATAATCTCTGCCAAAGCAAGCTCCAGTCCCACCACTGTACTTTTGGACAACTCATTGAACAGCTTAGGCCCTTGCTCTATTTGTAAAATAAGCATAATTATGCCCCCACTGTCTCCCACGGCTTCTGAGGGAATCAAGGCAAGACTGCATGAAACGTGTTTCGTAAACGAAAACTAAAGCACTAAAATTGTAATGATAATACTGTACATAGGGTGAAGAGCAGGCGAGAAAGGGAGGAGGAGATGGAAGGAGCTGTGGCAGAATCCCACCAAGGTTAAGAGCCAAGGATAAGGGGTCTCCCACCCAAGTGCAGCCTATAGCCCGGCTACCTACTAGCTGCCTCTCCTGGGGCAATTAAGCACATGGAAGCCCTTCTCATCTATAAAATGAGGATAATAACATCTGATTCGCTGCTTACTTTGAGGTTACCTGAGGTGAAGCTCGCAAAGCACGTGGCGCAGTGTACATAGTAACTGGTCCTCAGTAAATGCTCATAATATTCCTACTATTACTGTGACCGATATATGCAGCTGGCAGGAAAAGGCAATATACTATTTATGGTCCGGGTGGAAGACAGAGTGCCAAGGGTCCTGTCGTCGCTGGGGTGGGGTGGGAGGGTACCTAACACCCCCGCTACAGAGCGACCGCTCAGGCCCTTCCCCCGCACAGAAAGTGAAATACCCAGTCCAGCGAGCCAAGTGCGCGCGCGCGCGCGCGCGTCCAGACCCC